TATCAAATAAAATGGTTCATTGCCATTAACAGCGAATTTCAATATCGAAATCAGACAATTTTGTGAGGGCATCGTCGTCTGCTATGTACGCTAAAGCGCGCTCGGTCGAAGCCTCCTGACTAGGTCACCCTATCGCGAGATTTACCGAGGGTGCTTTATCAAGCAAATGCGAGTTTTTTCAATGTTTACATAATCAGATTAAAATCACTGTTGCTTCTCCTTCTAGGATGTGTAACACCCACTATCATTCCGGCCACTGTCCCTGTGACCACATCCTGCAACCTAACCATATACCTACTGTGTATCGTGTATAGTGTGCTGTGTGTTAGTGAGTGGGTGCGCAAACAAACTCAACTATGTATTAGTATACCCCAGGAAAATCTAACTACTCTAAATCTGAAGTAGATTTCATAATGTATTCGTAGAAAGACACTCAGCTGGTTTAAGGTTGATTAAGAACGAACGATTGAGAATGCCCTTCTCTTATGATTACTGAAATACGGCAATTATATTAGAAAACAAACATGGATAAAAAATACTATAATGCAACCATAACGTGTCTTCTGACTACTGACCTATCAACAAGGTTATGAAATGTATATATGTTATACAATAACCTGTTTGTATATATTGCATGTTCGTGATAACTAGAATGTTTCAGAATATTTTGAAATATATATCACAAAGAGATCAAAACAATATGTTGACATATTTTAACATAAATTGCATACATATATAATATTCTTGTTCATACAAAAGATAGATTACTGAGATGCCCAAAGAATAACACTTTCTTATAAATTGTGAAAACATGCTATAATTTGCGTGATCTTTTTACAAACACAACAATTTAAATTATGTAGTATTACATATGAATTGGTCCTCTCTATCTCTTTACAATTTACTGTGCACTCACCAGTATTCAGTTCAATTCCAGGATGTTAGCAAAGTTCATTTCCCTAGATTCATTGGTAACGTGAGATTTTGCAGAGTGGACTTTGTTTCCAGTTTCTAAATAAACACATAATAAACGCATAATCAGATGTTTACTAGAACATATATACACATAATTAGATGCTACTCATTCAAAATATTAAATTATTCTAATTTGTCATGGTTCATACCGTGCGCTTCATTAACAATATTAATTAATCTAACACATCAGTATGTGTTCTTGCCTCTAGTGTGCGTTTTCTAACAACAACAACAACACAATAACAACATAATGGTTAGTGATATAGCAATGATAATTGTGACAACCATACTAACAATAATGCCCAATATTTGTAGTTTATTCTCATTATTATTTATGACTTCATCGGCCAAAGAGGATAAATACACATGATACGACAAGATGGCAAATGACGAACTTTACCTGTAAACGAAGTTATTGAATCATCTTGTCTCGCTTTATTCTTTATCATTAGTGAGCTTTGTCAACTCGATTGTGACAGTGTTATCAGGTAATATAGGATTGATTTTGTCTT